GGAGGAGACCTGGGGCCAGACGAGTCTTCGGGTGTGTGGGGTTGGGGTGGGGGTGCCCTGTGCGTTGTCGGATGTTGAGCGGCGCCTCTGGCCTCAGCCCACCGGCTGCCAGGCCCCCACCTACTTGTCACAACCGAAAGTGGCTCCCGACATTGCCACTTGCCTCTTCTCCCCGCGAGGGCTGCCGCCGTCCGGAAAGGGCGAAGATTTGAGGGGAGCCCCCGTGGCTCCACCTTGCCCAGAGCTGGAAGGACCCGGCTCCTCCTCCACCGTGGGGTCCGCGGAAGCCGGCACCGCTGGCCCGGAGCCCGGGCCCAAGACCCAGCACCGTTGGAATCCCAGCCACGGTCCTGCCCCTTAGAAAACGGTGCGCACGTCGATCGGCTGCCCTGATCTGCCGGAGAGAGGAGATCGTGCCCCGTCCTCACGGTGGCCGTTTCTGAGCTCTGCGACGGTCCTCGGGCATCTCTGGCTGCCGTGGCAGGACCCGAGAGGGCGGGATATCCAGACCGGACGCTGGGCCAGGAAGAGTGGCAGCTCCCCCCTCAGACGGGTTTACTCTGCAAAGAAAAGATCCTGTCTCTGTGGAGAGACGACGTCTCCAAGGAGAGAACCCTGCGGATGGAGAGAGTGGGCCACGCAGGCAGGCCAGAGCTGGAGTGTGGGCGGAGGGCAGGGCCGGTGGAACGTGGAGGTGGGGCACGGGGGGCTCCTGGTGAGCTGTGCTCAGCAAACCCCAGACCCCCAAAAAGTTCAGCACGGTTTGCCAGGTCACGCCCCTCCCACGTAACTGTTCAGGGGGCCCCGCTGCCCCCCACGCACCTCCTGGTGGGAGAGAGGCCAGCCTCGGCCCTCGGCCCTCGGCCCCCGGAGGCCAGCTGGATTCACGGGGCATCGAGGGACCAAAGACTGGGGTTCCCGCAGACGCTCTGTGGCCGTGTGGCCGGACTGAGGGGCCACTGAGTGGGCCCAGTCCTGTGCACACACACGGATCACCTGGCAGGGGGCCCGAGGAACCGTGCCGCATAAATCCCGTTGTTTGTGAAGCTCCGTGCACCCTCGGGGGCCATCGCCAGCCCGTAACGGTTATTTATGCCTCAGGAATAACGGGGTGGCGGGGCGGCTGCGGGCTCGCGGCCCGCTTAAACATGCCCTCCGTAAGTGCTCTGATCATTGCAGCCGTGGGGCCCCGTAAATCCAGGAGAGATCACCCTGTCAGCTCGGCAAACGCTGCCGTCCCTTGGGTGGGGAGGAGAGGCCGTTCGCCGGCCCTCCCATGGCACTGCCCTGCCGGCGTGGAAAGACACGGGCCGCCCGTAGCCGAGGTGGCACGGGCCCCGTGGCAGCCCCACCTCCCAGCGGCCCAGCGAGGGCCAGGAAGCTGTTGAATCTGACTCCCTGGTGCTCAGGGGGGCCGACGGTGAGGGCGGAGGCCCAGAGACACAGCCTGGGTGGACGGCCGTGGGTGCTGGCCTGGCCGGGGGAGGTGACGGCATAGAGCTCCCCGCTTCTTCTCGCACTTGTGGGTGTGGCCTCCTCTCACTTCTGGGGGTCATTGCCAAGGGCAGGGCCCGCGATCCGCTGTTCTGTCTTAGAATTCTGCGTTCGCGTTCTGAGCGTGGAGCCCAGATCGGCGTATTCCAGTAGAGCTGTGTTTTCTGTAGCTGGTCCTGGAGGGGCTGCCTTGGGGTGTCCCAGCTGGCGGGGGGGGGGGGGGCATGGGTCCGTGACCGTGGCCAGGATTAAATGGCCGGTCGTGGGGCGGGGCGGGGAGGCGGGGCGCTGCCTGCCCTGGTCCGGAACCTTCCTTCCCTCCGCCTGCCTGAAGACGTGGCAGAAACCGGGCCGTGTCCGCGGCCGCTCGTGCGCGTGCGTGGGAGCCCGGGAGCCGGGGCGGGTGTGGCGGGTGGGGCTCAAGCGTGAGAGGTGCCCCCGGCCCCCTCTTACTGACACGCGCCTCTCTCGTGCCTCCCAGACGAAGAAAGGGTATCAGAAGACCGTGCTGGAGATCGACACCCCCAAGGTGGAGCAGGTGCCCATCGTGGACATCATGTTCAATGACTTCGGTGAAGCGTCACAGAAATTCGGATTTGAAGTGGGGCCAGCTTGCTTCCTGGGCTAGGAGCCGCGAGCCCGACCCCCGAGAGCAACCTCGTGACCTCAGCGCGCCGTCTGCGGGCGTCCTGGACAGTGAAGGCCCCTCGTCCCTCCCCCGACCTCGTCTGCGCCCGGCTCCACGCCGAGCCGGACCCCAGACCCACAGAGCAAAGGAAGAGAGCTGAGTCCCCACCCCGGAGCCGAATCACATGACCTAGACGGCCCACCGCCACCGGCACCCCGCTGTCTCAGCGCCCTTCCGTCGCCACCACGCCACGGGGTCGGGAAGGGGGCCACACTTCTTGCCACGGAGCGGGGTTGGGGGCTGCACTATTCAGAGATCCCTTTTTTTGTTGTTTTTTTTAAATTCAACTTGAAGATGTGTATTTCCCCTTCAAAACGTGTTCTGAGGTGAGCCTTGTAAGGGTCATCCCCACCTTGTCAGAGCGTCTGTTCTCAACTACACGATCCATTCGCGGGCGAAATGTCGTTCCGCGTGTGCCTTTCCGATGGATTCAAGGTGCTTCCGTTTTTGTGAGTTTTAAGTAAATATTTGTATTGTATTGTCATAAACGTGCAGTGTCCCTGACTTTCGATCACGCACGGAAACACAGCTTCAGCCCCGCTGGAGAGTGGGGACAAGGGGTGGGCGGTCCAATCCCGGCGAGACCTGAGGAGCCCCCGTCCCCACCCTGGCCAGGAACGTGCAATAAAGTGGAATATTGCCCAGGGCGGGAGGTCGTGCTGCCGTTCGACCAGCAGGCGTCCGTGCCCCTCTTCAGACAATTTTTTGATGAGCTCTGGAGGTTTTTTTTCTTTTTTAACGGAAAGGAAAAAAAGAAAAAAAGAGAACTCCACGCTTTGCCTTTCCTTCATGCACTTAGGTTAAAACGCAGGCATAAATTAATTTTAATTGCTTCCTTTCTCCATTCTCCTTCCCGCAGAGCCTGACGGGAGAGCGTCCGGGGCAGGGAACCCACACTTTCTGTAGATGGTCCTTATGTGATAATCGGTGCTCACTTTTAACTTGTCCTTTGTGGTGCTATCTGTTCCAAGGTCTCCTTGAAAGGCGACGCGGGGGTACCTGGCCGTGCCTCACCCTCCCGCCTTGCGTGGTCCCCGTCTTCGCCTCCACGGCGTGGGTCTCCGCCAAGGACGTTAAGGTAGACGCACGCCACCCTCCTGCCCGCTGGGCCCACGCGCTTCTGCGCCCCCAGGTCGCGGCGAGGCCCGTTTCCGGTATTAGGCTGTGGTTCTGTGATTTGAAAACACACACACACACACACAAATAAAAGCTGCTTCCCGCACTGTCTGTGTCGTGACGATAGCAGGTTGTATCTGGTTGCCGAACGTTTGGTGCTAATTTCTGTGTCTGTGCTAAGAACTGAATTGAAGCTACGGGCGTGGCCCGGCGGGGTGGCCCGGGGGGCCCTCAGCGGACAGGGAGGAGGGCCGTGAGTTCTGCAGGTCTCTGCAGGGCTGCCTCAGGGCCTCCTTCCCACATGAGCGATTTGGATTCCCATCTGCAAGCATCCTGGGCGCAGGCCTCGGCTGCACTGGAGCTCGGGGCTGGCGGGGCTCTGTCCGGGCACCGTGCCTTCTTCCCACGAGCGAGGGCCGGGGGCTGCCTACTGTGGGCGGGGGACCCGATGGACCGGCGAGGATTGGCTGTCCCTTTACTGTGAAAAGCTGCCCTCGTGCCATGCCCTTTCTCTCCATGCTGGGGGAAGCTGGTGGGGCCCCCGGGCCCTGCTCAGCCCCCTCGGGGGGGGAGAGGTGACCAGTCCGGTGCTGTCCCTGCCCACCCCGCCCCGCCAGGGAGACCACAGCAGAGAGCCCTCCGGCCCCGGGCGAAACGAAATCACCCACTGGGATTTCCCGAACTCCCGCGGAAACAGAGTCTCGCCGTTGCCAAAGAAAAGCCTGGCTTCGAGGTCCGTTCGCGCCTGGGATGCCGGCCTGCGCCAATGACTCTCACGTTTGTCTCTTCCAAAGCAAAGCCATACGCGAGGACTGCCGAGCGGTGCCCTGCGGGGGTTGTCTAGGTCATGTGATTCCGTTTTGATTCCTCGCCCCTCCCGAGTCCGCTCTTAGTCTGTCCTCCCCATCTTCGTGGTCCCTTCAAAGCTGTCATTTGTACTGAAGCCAAATGTGTCCCCTTCTCCCCCGACCACTTTGCTACGGTATATTGCAATAAAAATTACTTCTTATATTTGCAGAAATTCTCCTGGTGTGATTCTTATTTGTCCTTGTCGATATAACTGGTCACTCGTTGATGGAAAGGGAAAACACGATCATCGGAAGACCCACAGAAAAGGTTCTGGGACGTTGGGCCCTTTACAATACGATGTCAGATGACGCCTTAAAGCCCCACAGACACGATCCTAAGTTTAACTGTGACGTCCAAGGAAGGGTGTCCTACGATATTTTATTTTTATTAAAAAAAAATTTTTTTTAACGTTTATTTTTGAGACAGAGAGCATGAATGGGGGAGGGTCAGAGAGAGAGGGAGACACAGAATCTGAAGCAGGCTCCAGGCTCTGAGGTGTCAGCACAGAGCCCGACGCGGGGCTCGAACTCATGGACCGCAAGATCATGACCTGAGCCGAAGTCGGACGCTTAACCGACTGAGCCACCCAGGCGCCCCATCATAACGATATTTTAAACCTGTGCGATGAATGAGTCCCTGTAAGAATTTTTCAGTAAATCAAGTTGGCTGTTTCCACCATAAACAGACATGATTGGCTGTCTTCTTAAGGGCGACAGGGCCGTCCCCTGCACCGACCCCCTCCCGGTGGCCGCGGAGAGCGGAAGGAGGCCGTTGGCGGCCAAGGGGGCACTTCCCCCAGAAGACACAGCCGTGGGCCCGTCAAGGACGGAGCCGTTCCCTGGGGGCCGTCAGGATGTGGCCAGGCGCCAACCCGGGGGACTCTGTGGCCATGCCTGGGTGTCCGGGCTCATCCTGGGCCCTGACGCACGTCCCTGGGGCTCCCTCCCCACCCTGCTGCCCAGCTGCACCTCCGGACCCCACTTCTCGGCCCCTTGGAGCTGCTCGGGGCGTGGGGCTCGCCTGGCCACCGACCACGAGCTCCAGCTTCGACCCTGGCTCTCCCAGTCTGCAGCAGGGGCTCCCTCTTGTCGCCGGCCTCCTTCTCGGGAGTGCCGTGTCCCCAGCGGACCTGGAGGGGGTCGGTCCCCAGCCCACCTGAGATGAATTTGCAACAGAGCCGGAGACACATGTTGGTTGCTTTAAGCCAGTGACGTCCGGGGTGGTTAGCTGCTGCACCAAAGCCTAGACTGGTGTTTCTCAAAGTGTGGTCCTTTGGCACAGAAGCAGATTCTCGGGCCCCGCTGCCGACCTGCTGAATCGGACTCCAGGCCTCAGGGGCCCTGCTGTGCCCCCCCGGCTCAACGCCCCCGGCCTCGGCCATGCTGAGCTCGACGGACTCGGCCCCTGAGAGCGGGGCACTCCTCTCGCAAAACCTCGGCGTCGCTGACGGCAGGCGTGCAGCCCGGACTGTCCTCCCAGGACGGGAGGCTCCTGTCTCCAGGGCGGAGCATTTGTCCAGGTCGTCGTCTGCTCCCTGTGGCCTTCGCAGGCAGGTTATTCCCGAGGGAAGAAGTCACAGGTGGAAGGGCGGTGGCCAGGCTGGTCGCCGGTGACCACGCTGGAGGGTGTCACGAGGAACAGATGAGGTCTGGAGAGGGCCGGCGGGGACCAGGACCCCCAGGGGCTGAGGATCAGCGCTAACACCGAGAAACACTGAGGGACACACTGGGTGCAGCTCAGCCGTCCCCCACGTGAGCAGCCGCGCTTTGCTCAGAACCTGGATGTGGATGGCGAAGGCTCCAGATGCACGGCTCAGGCGATGACCACGCAGGGTGGGGCCCCCTCAGAGCCGGACGGGTCTGAGGGCCGCCACAGTGACTCGGGAGGCGGAGGGGACAGGCCGGGCGTGCGCACACCGAGGGCACAGGTCGCCGGCTGAAATCCAACAGGCGGGAAGCTGGTTCATCCACTTGTTCGTGCATTCGTTCATTCGTTCAGGGAGTTCGTTGGCCGCGTGCCATGTGCCAGGCTCTGGGGACCGCAGAAGAGTCCCGTCTGCACAGAGCTCTCAGCCCAGTGGCGACGGACGTGAGCAGACACAGGCACGAAGCCTGTCGAGAGGGATAAGTGCTCAGGAGAAGTAACACGCATAAGGGATAAAAGTGTACTTTTTTAGAAGCATAAAGAAAGAGGCACAAAGTGAGAGAGAAAACGTGTGCCCATGTGTGTGTGTTGTGTGCTGGATGTGGGACGCGGCAGGACCCGTGTTTGGCCGGCTCCGGGCCCCGTGTTAGGACGGAGCCAGCGTCGGTCGTCACCCAGGTGAGAGCTGGCCGTGCAGGGGACGCGCCGAGGATCGCAGTCTGGATATTTCCAGCGTGGAGTCTGCAGGGCTTGCCGAGAAGGGCGGGAAGCGAGCAGGCCAGGACCCCAGGGGGACGCCGGCTCTGGGATGAGACCCCCAGGACCACGTGCACGTGCGGGTGTGGGCACACCTGTGCACCCAGGGACACAGCTGTGGCCTGGCCAGAACGCAGTGAGGACAGCTGGCTCCGGGACCCAGGCCCAGATTCTGCCAACACCCAGCACTCAGAGCCCCTGTCCGCCCCTCCGTAACACGCCAGACGCGTGAGGGTCACCGCCGCTCTGTGACCGGAGGTCCCTCAGAGCCTGAGACGGGCTGGCTGTGTCTTTGCACGGAGAAGGGGCCGAGGGGACAGGAGGTCGACTTCACAAATCGCTTTGGGCCCTGGGGGAGGGGACCGCTTGCGGTCATGAAAGGAAATGGCCCCGTCCGGGAGCAGGAAAGCCAGGGAGGGTCTCTGGTTCCTCCTCCACGGAGAAGGGGCGCCTGCTAAGCCCCTGAGCGGGGAGCACGCTCGTAAGGCAGCCATCGCCGTGTGCGGGGACAACGTGGGTCCTTCCGGTGACGCCCACTGACGTCTGCTCACCGGCGGCTCCCTAAGCCGCCTGTCCGTTGAAACCACCTGCACAACTTCCTAGAGATCCAAGACCTAGACCTTCTAGGATATGCGCTGCCGAAGGGAGCACACGCCTAGACTTCCAACCCGAAGGCCACCGGGGGCGGGGGAGGGGAGCAGCTAGAGCCCCGCAGCCTTGTGATTGGCAGGGGCTCGGGACCCCTGCAGATACAGCCGTGTCCGTCCCCCCCACACGGACTCCTGCAAGTGGGGCCCCCCTCCCGTCCTGACCCCCACCCAGCTCTCCCCGCCTCCACCCCCGGGGCCCCCCTCACCGCGCAAAGCGGGCTGAGCCAACACCCGCGACAAACTCCCGCGCTGAAAACTGACCAGCGGGATCCAGGAACTCACTCTGCACGAGGTCAGAGGTGCGTGTGCGTAAAGTGACGCGCAGCTCAGATACGCGGACAAAACAGCGCACGTGGATGTCGCCCAAGATTTAGATACCTCTAACCCAGCACCATCTGTCTGGAGCCTTCCAAAGTAGTCACCCGGTCTGATCTAAAAATCTCACAAACGAACTTTATCACGCGGTCGGTTTCAACAGAAGAGAGGGAGGGTGACAAGGACTGTAGCTGACAGGGGCCCTCCCCTCACCGGCCACGCACTGGGAGCACACGCGAGTCGGCGTCCTATACCCACCAGCCTATCCCGTCGCTGGGGTCTGTTTCTGTGCCTGAGCAGGAAAACACCACTTTCCGGTGATCTCCCAGGGGTAAACCCTTCAACGAGTGCCACGCGCACAAAGCATCCCGCTTCCCACCCCCGACCCCCCCAAACCGACACATTTTATCACGTGGGTTTGGGAGAAGTCCGCTTCCCGGGCGTGTGTTGGGAACCGACATGTTCCCCGGTTCAGGGATCTTCTCAGCTTCATTTTAAACCTAAGCAGCCACTTTGTACATTCGTATTATTTCTCACTACGGAAGAAACCACCCCGAACTGAGAGACTCGACACAGCACGTGTGCGTCAGCTCACATTCTTGCGGTCAGGCGTCTGGACGCAGCTCACGCGGGCCCTCGCTTCGGGGCCTCCCCAAAATGGCAGGCGCGGTGCCGGCCTCGGCCAAGGTCTCATCCAGAGACCTGACCGCGGAGTGATCCGCTGGGCTCAAACACATCGTTGGCAAGATCTCTTGAGTACCGTTGGGCTGAGGGCCTCCGGTCCTCGCTGGCTGTTGGCTGGAGGCCTCTTGGGGCCACACTGTGTATTTGTCTGTCTGCTTCTTTGCTGCCTTCCCAAGAGTGTACTGACCTGTCCGCTCTGTCACCACGGTGTCACAGGGCACAGAGCAGCCCTGGCACTTAGTAGGTGCTCACTAAACATCCCTCTTCTGTCTTGCTTGTGAGGCCAACACAAGGGGGAGCCAAGTCCCGGTGCACCGGCCCAGGAAACGCTCGGCGGGGACCAACAGTGACAGGCTTCTGGAAAGTTCTGGAGCAGGGGGAGCCCAAGGCAAGGAAGCCATGACAGGACTTCCGTCTTTGATCCTCGTGCCTCAATGGGTCGTTGGCCTGCCATTGAGTGGTCTTTCCACTCTGGCTGGGAGCCTCCCGAGGGCGGGTGGGGATGTCGGATTCCTGCCCAGGTGCTGTCACAGGTGAGGGTTGGGCAGGAACGAGTGGAGCCCTGAGCCTGGAGCCCGAGCCCAGGTTTCTAAGCGTCTCACAGCCAGGAGCCAGAGGGCAGGGGCGGGAGGCTCGGGACCGAGGGAGGAGGCAGAGGGAGGCAGAGGGCGGCGACGAGAGCATTCCAGGGACAACAGGGAGCCGGGTTCTAATCCTGGCCCACCAGTGACAACCTGTGTGGCCCCCCCAGGCAGCCCCTTTCCTTCTCTGTGCCTCAGTTTCCCCATCCACAACAAGAGATGCCCTCAAAGTCGTAGTAGCATACCTGGGCCTGAGCCTTGTGATATGGACTCATTTCTGTGGTGCCTCTCGGCTAGGTTTCGTCGGTTTCTTGCACAGAAAGGACCTCTCGGTGTGTTCCTGTCTTTAAAATAAATTCAAATGAGTCTGGTGAGTCTGTTACAATGGTGACTTCCAAAGCCCAGTGATTCCTTAGGCTTTTAAGCTTGATTTATAAACCTTACTCTGTAGGTAACAGGCACATTTTGATAACTCGTTAAGGGGCCTGTGAATAATTCTTGTTACATTTGCTGACTTAGGACGTTTAAAGCATCATGACTGTCTTATGATGGGGGTCGCGACTCCAGTGACACACTGGGACAGGGGCTATTGGGCGGTGGGGGGGGGGTTGGGACTTCTGGCTGTGTCTCAGAGATGCCCCTCCCCGGGGCACGTGACAAGTGGCCGGGGCAACTGGGTGGGATCCTCCTCCCCCCTCCCCCCTCCCCCTCCCCCGCTTCCCCAAGCCCGAAGACACTGCTTGGTGGTCCAGAGCCTGTCCTCCGTGCAGGGCCAGCTAGACCGGCTCTTGGTGACATCCCTGGCCGGGCCGCCCACCCCGCTTCCCACCGTGTGCCAATGATTGGTTGTGCGAACCTCGCCGACCTGGGGCGGCCTCGGATCATTGTCCCACCGCGCTGGGGAATGAGAGAGGGCGGCCAGGGCTTTCCCTCACCCTTCCCCCAGGGCCGTGGGGTCTTCGCTGGGAAGAGCGTCCCAGCCAAGGGCAAATGAGGGCCCTTACGCAGGATGCTCATTAACTAGGCTGTGAGGCCCAGGGCCTGTGAGGCTGGCGCCACAGGCCTCGGGAGGAAGCGGTCGCTGACGTGAGACTCAGACCCGGAGGTTAAGGCGGGCAGCCGCGGCCCCAGAGGGCCAGGGAGCGCCTTGAGCGGCACAGACGGGAGCCACGGAGCGGGGCGGAGCCGCCGTGGCCGCGGGACCTGCCATCCTGGCCATCGTCGCCCTCCTGTGCGCTGTGGCCTGGACGGCCGACACCCGTCCGGGTGAGTCAGACGCCAGCTGCGCGGGCCCGACGTCGGCCTCCGCTCGCCGGCCACCGGCTGCGTCCCAGCCCTCGCTAAGCACGTTTTCAGCCTCGTTTTCCAGACGAGGAGGCTGCCGGGCACAGAAATAGATGCAGCTGGACCGGAGGGAACAGGAGCTTCTCTGGAGCCCGACCGGCTGGGCCCAAGCCCCGGGAGGCTTCCCCTCCGGGCCTCGGGGTCCCCGTGTGGGGGCGACCGTCGGGTCCCACACGGGCGCTGCGTGTGAAGGCAGAGCGGGGAGGGCCGCCCAGGTCGGATTCTTGCCGCTGGCACTGGCCCTGGGGGACTCGGAGGCTCTGGGGACAGCTGAGCCCCACTGGGTCGCCAAGGTGGCAGGGAAAGGGAGGGGCCATCACAGGCTCCCGATCACCTTTCCCCGGCCAGCGGCTGTCCCCAGCGGTTGCACGCCCCGATCCCGACCCGTGGGAGGTTCTGGACGAGGCACTCTCTCACCGGGCGGGAACTTCCAGAAGCTGCTGCCTTCACTAGCCGAGCCCGGGAGAGAAGGACGGGAACGGTTTCCCCTGCGTGACCCTGGAGAAAGGTCTGGAACAAGTGAGGCCGGAGGCACATGTGGCTCTTGACTAGAATATCACGGGATGCTTAATTTGCCCCCAGTTTCTTATAAATATCTATTGTCATTATTTATTGAAAGTCCCCAGCGTTTATGAAGCTCATTCTCAACACCGTGGGTGCTACTCAGGTTTTAAACGTTTGCGTCATCTAATGTATCCTCCCCCGAGGACAGAAGCCCAGAGGGGTTGATGTCATGCCCGAGGACACACAGCACTGAGGAGCTGGGCTCCCCCTGGTCTGGAGGGCTCCCAGGCCATCTCCTCGCACCTGACCAGCACCCATGGCCGGGGGGGTGGGGGGGGCAGAGAGGCAGGAAGCCCCAGTTCCAGGCTGACCCTCCAGTGGTCCCCGGCGGCCTGCCCAGGCCCGAGGTCACCTCACGGGCAGAAGCCTGGCATCGGGTGGCCTGACAGTGGGATCAGGTGCGGAGCCCAGCCGGGCACTTTGCGTTTCTCTGCAGGGGTGAAGTGGCGGGTCTGGAGGGCTCCGACAGGCTGACCGTCCTCCGAGGCTGCCCCGGGCTGCCCGGGGACGCAGGGCCCGAGGGAGAGGCAGGGGTCGATGGAGAGAGAGGTACGTGCCCCCGGATCGGGCGGGGTCACCGAGCCCCCCCTCCTCCTGTCAGACCCTGGGGTGGGCACGTCCCCTGCTCGTCTCTAGCCGGAGCCCGGGGGCCGGGGCCCTGCTCAGAAGCAGTGTCAGACGCCGACCCGAAGGCCCGTCGGGCCCTGCAGTTCCCCTACGAGGGATCTGGTCTCCGGAGTGTTTTAGGAACTCACATTTGGGGTACGGTTGACCCCGGAGCGCACGCCTTGGACTGCGCACGCCTGCTAATACGTGGACTTTCGCTGGATGCGGTCCGGTGCTGTGAAAGCATTTTCTCTTCCTCACGGTTCTCGTGCTGCCGTTTCTCCTCTGCGGCTGCCTGTGCGGTGAGAGCACGGTGAGTGTGCCCAGAAGGGGCAAAAATGAGTCGGTCCCCTGTTCACGGGGCCATTAAGGCTCCTCCGGTCTACACTGGACCTCCAGCAGCGGCATCTGGGGAGGGGGGTCAAGGCTTCCACACGAGCTTTCTCCTGCACCTGAGGGGTCGGCGCCCACCCACCTGACTGTCCAAAGACCAAGTGTCTTTTTACGGAATATCTGCTTCCTGGTCCTCGACCCAAGGCCGGCTTTCGAGGCCACGGGAAGACAGAGGTCCGGCCCTCACGTAGCTCCCTGATCTCACCCGAAAATTGAGGCCACCACGTTCTTCTGTGTTTCCCTCAGATGAGGAAACGGAGGCACGCGGAGGCCAGCATCCTCCCTGAGTCTCACACCAGGAAGGGGGAGAGCGGGGCCTTGGTCGCCCGGGGGGGGATTGGGGACAAGCCGTGGTGTGGGCGGACCTGCCGTGTGCGGGCGCCTCTCCCCAGAGCGGGGGCCCTCCTGGCGTGGGGCCCGAGCCTGCATAGAAGGCAGATGTGTGCCAACAGCCCGTCGAGGGGGCTATCGGGGGGGGGGGGCGCCCCAAGCCCGGGGTGATTAGGTGCACGCTGAGGGGCACTTGGGGACCCTGCTCTGGACATGGAATCAGATCCTACGTGGAGGGGCTCTTGATGACCCCGCCCTCGACGGCATCCGGGGGCTGGGGCTCAGCCGAACCTCCTCGCCCTGTGGGGACACGCTGCAAGAGAGGCCGGCCGTGCCCCGGGGGACCGGTGTGTCAGGATCTCGGAGGAGGTGTCCATGTTCCGGGCCCCTCGCTAGACAGCAGGGCTCTGGAGCGTGGCCCAGGCCTGGGTGCACCACGCAGAGGTCAGCGGAGGCAGGAATCAGCAGCAGCCCCGGGCCCGGGCCCCAGGGGATGGTCTGGTCCCATCCTGTGGCTGCTCCGTGACACCAGGCAGTGGTTCTGAGGACAACGGGGGCCGGGTGGACCTTCCTACTTGGGGCAAAGATCTCCAGTGGAATTTTGTGGCCGTCCTTTGTCCATGATACATGTGTGTTTGGAATTTGCAGGAACTCCCGGTTCCCCTGGAGCCCCGGGGAAGGCAGGACCCCCCGGGCCCAAAGGTAACAACGTGATGAAGAGTGAAGGCCCCTGGGCGGGACCTGGGTGTCTGTCCATAGAGAAATGAGAGAGGTACACAGACAGGAAGATAGGGGGACAGGGAGACAGAAGGACAGGGAGATAAGGGGACAGGGAGACGGGAGACAGGACACAGGACACAGGGAACAGCGAGACGGGGGACGGGGGACGGGGAGATGGGGACAGGGGACAGGGAGACAGGGAGGTTATAGGACAGGACACAGGGAAACGGGACAGGGAGATAAGGGAACAAGGGGACAGGGAGACAGGACACAGGACACAGGGAACAGGGAGACAGCGGACAGGGGGACAGGGGGACAAGGGAGCAGGATCCCATGCCTAGGCCCAGGATCCAAGTCCCAGGGCCCACCCTCCTCTTGAGCAGGCGATTCCGTTACGCCCCAGCAAGCACGCCTTCTCCACCAGAGACCGGGACAGCGATTCAAGTCCCGAAAACTGCGCTCAGGTGTACCGGGGGCCTGGTGGTGTCACAAGTGTCACCTGTCAAACCTCGACGGCCAGCACCTCGGGGGCGCCACAGACGCGAGGTCTACAGGGTGTTGGAGCGAAGGAGTGTCTGGCCTGGCGTGGCCCCCCCCACACGGCGGCAGGGGGGACGGCTGGTCTGGGGCCCGCAGGCAAGGGAGCGCGGGCTCAGGGTCCCCGCCCTGCTCCCCCGGGGGGCCCTCTGTGCTTCGTGCCCCTCCGGGACGCCGACGCCTCGTCTGCCCGCTGGCTCTTGCCGACCACGCGTCTTCTTAATACGCACACTTGCTTCCTCGCTCAGCACACGCGGGTGTCGCCGTGGCCTGCGTTGCCCCGACCGCTGGTCACGCCCGCCCCTGTTCACCTGCCTCACCGCCGCTTAGCGCGGAGGGGGCCTGCTCAGGGGTGAGCCAGTGCAGGACTGCGGCCCCAGCCCTGAACGGGGTGGAGGGGTGGGGGGGTGCGGGTAGAGAAGAGGACAGGCCTCTCCTGGACCGAGCCCTCCGCAGCGAGGACGGCGCCCCCGCGTGCAGCCGTAAACCCGGAGCTGAGGACCTCGCCGTGCCTCGACCTCCCACCCTAGAGATGGGGTCCTCCTGGGACTGATCTTCCTTCAGGAAGTTGTAGTTTCAAAGACACAACAAAATCTTGAGAGAAAAACCGTGACCTCTTGAGGGCCCTGTCACTATGGTAGAAGGCCCGTTAAGACTGTTAAATACAGAAACATTTTTAGCCTGGCAAGCCAGAAATTCTTTTTCAAGTGTTGTTTAAAAAAAAAAAAAAATTTTTTATTGGGGCGCCTGGGTGGCTCAGTCTGTGGAGCATCCGACTTCGACTCGGGTCACGATCTCGCAGTCCGTGCGTTCGAGCCCCACGTCGGGCTCCGTGCTGACGCCTCGGAGCCTGGAGCCTGCTATGGATTCTGCGTCTCCCTGTCTCTCTGCTCCTCCCCCGCTCGTGCTCTGTCTCTCTCTGTCTTAAAAATTAATTAAACGTTAAAAATTTTTTTTTTAAAAAATCTGTTTGAGAGATGGGCTAAGAGCTAAAAAAAAAAAAAAAAAAAAGTAATTTTTATAAATGTTTGAGCCTTGCCGTGCGTCACTTATAAATGCTCTCATGCTTTCAACACTTGATAGTGTTGCACCCACAACAGAATGCTACGGGCACCAGTGACAGTCACGACAAAGTTTATTGCAATGAGAGGCAAGGCCGACCGATCGGGACCGACACTCTTGATCAGGGTGCGGCTGCGAACAGCCGGGGGGACAGAGTTTTATCATCACCTGGGAACAGAACAGAGAAACAGTTCCCAGATGAGTTAGAAACAGTTGCCAGATGAGGTGATCATTTTAGACTTTCTGCCGCTTAGTTGCAACCAGTGGATCTCCTTGACCTTGCCTCTGATGCTCTTTTCTTTGAGCTTTTGTTTCCTTCGTTGGTGAAGCCTGATTCACAAGAGTAGGAAGCGTAATTTACAAGAGTAAAGCAAGGCTGTTTATCTCTTGACCTTCAGTGTCAGAACAAAGCTGTTGTTTTTCAAGCTGCGCGTTAGCCCTACGCTACAATTTAACCCTCACGATAGGATTTTTTAAAAATACTTCTACGAATGCAGTCAAAGATATTTGGGAGAGGAAGGGGCTCGTGCAATTAACCCGATGCCACGACAGGGCTTTATTTGCATTATGTATGCATGTGAGTGCGTGAACCCGCAGGGGCTTCGGGAAGGTGTAACCGGCTGGGGGGCCGCTGAAGGGCGGCCCCGGCCACCGAGCAGGGGGCTGGGGCCAGATTGGAGCCTGGGCCAGGGCCGGGCGTGTCCCCTGGGCTGGACTGTCCCCCGGGAAAGGGGGCAGTGGCCTGTGGGGTCTATGCACACATCCCTTGGATTCTCAACTGTGGCTGTGACCTCTGTGCTCATGGGAGGGCACGGGGTCCCGCCTGGGAAGCCCAGCTTTGATGGGAGTGACCCCTGAAGACTCGGGGAGCAATGACCCCACCCCGCGAGGTCAGGACAGCGCACCCGGAAGTCCCGGCTGCAGGAGGGAGGGCGGTCGTCGGATCCAGGCCGGGCGGGGGACGCCCGCGGGAACGGGCCTGAAGCTGTAAGTTTGGTGGCAGGTGCCCCTGTCCCCTGGGTTTCCACCCCATGACGTGTCCCCTCCCCGGCCTGCTCTCCGTGCTGCTGAACCCCTTCCAGCTCCAATGCGATTTCTGGTTTCGTCTGCCCTGTGCTGTCCCTCGGAGAGGAAGGCCCTTCTCCCTTCCAGCCGGGTGACATGGACTTTCCATCATCGCACCCAGTGGCTCTGGGACCCTTGGGCTCCAGCCTCCCCGCCCCCCCCGCCCTGTCATCAAATCCAGCACATGCTGGGGGCCTGGCCTGGGGCTCTGTGGGGCTCCCTGCCCAGGTCGGCTGTCAACACACGGCTTGTGGCCGCCCAGTGCTATCTGTAAGCGCTGGGGTCTGGGACTCCCAAGGTCAGGGTCCCAGAATGGAGCTGCCTCCCCCGTGAACAAGCAAGTCTCTGTGTCACTGGTGAGGTGACAGGGCTCTGTGTCCACACAGACCTGGGTCTCCCTGGGCCCGGTCAGGTCCAGGCTGCGTGACCTTGGGCCAGTCGCTTGACCTCTCTGAGTTCTCTCTAACGTGACTGAGGATAACGGGGTGGATTTGAAGACTCCGGAGTAAAGACGGTGCCCACGGTTTGGGTCAGCGATAGACCAAGGGGTCAGTGAACAGGGGCGTTGGTATCGCCCCACCCCCACCCCCACCCCCGCACCTGTCCCTCCTGGCCGCCCTCCCTGGCCTGGCCGCCGTGCCCGAGTCCGGCCTCAGTTTCTGGTCCGTTGTTTCACAAGCTGAGAGGAGGAGCCCCTTGGATTCTAGGTCACTGTTGTAAACTGAGGCAGCCCTGGCCCAGCCCCCACAGCTTCCCTCGTGCCCCCCACCCCTCTGGCAGCTGGGCAGGGTCGTGGCTGTTGTGCTGGGCTCCACTTCTGCCCGGCAACGCCGGCTGCCCACACTTGCCCCGGGGCGTGCTCTGAGGGGCGGAGCAGACGCTAGGCTTCCCGGAGGAGGAGACACCTTTGGCGTCAAAACTCACCATGGAGCCTCCCGGCCCGAGGCACGTCGCCCCCTCCCCAAATAAAGCTGACCTCTGGGGGCTGCGAGGAGCCCCAAACCCTGAAACCAGCACGGTGCTGTCGCCCCGGTCCACCAAGCCCACTTGCTCCAGTCCCTCCCTCCCCTTCGCCCGGGTTCACACTTCCTTTCAAGGATCTGGAGCCTTGAGAGCCATTTGCAAGAAAAGGGCTTGGAAGGGGCCACCTGGTCCACTTCAGGCTCAGTCAGGTCTGGGTGGAGCACAGTGTCGCTCTCCAGAAGCGGGATGATGTTTAGGGCTGCATTAATGGAGGCATGGAATCTAGAACTGAGGAGGAGACAGCCACACTCCTGTCTGCACAGGTCAGACCGCACCTGTGCCTTAGGTCCTGATTGTCCCACTTCAGAAGACCCAGGGAGGGGGCACTGCCTGGAAACGGGGGCACAGACCTGGCAGCAACACCGTGGGAAGTTCTGGACGGCCGGGAAGAAGAGCAGTGGGCAACACTCGTGGCCCCACACTGGGAGGACTGGCTGCACTGGGGGCTCCTGGGCCCCAGAGGCCCCTCCCAGCCCTCGGGCCTCTGTCCTCTCCCAATGACCTCCCATCACAAAGGGTGAGACTCGAGCTGGTCCCGGTTCCCTGGGACTCCCGGTCTCAGCCCTGAGCACCCTACCTGCTGGGAAACTGAGTCCGGGACAAACCAGGATGGTGGTCACCTTGCCAGGAGGTCAGCGGCCTATTAAAACTGCCCCAATCATTGGCACGGACGAAAGAAACCGGATTCCCCACAGGCTCAGGGAAGCCCGTGGGCTGGTGGCGCAAGACAAAGCCAGGCCACGCCCCGCTAGCCCCCCCAGAATGGCTGCGTCTGCAGGTGCAAAGCCCTCTCCGGGGTGCGGGCGGGTCAACCACCCCCAGGGCGCCCCTGGCGCAGACGGAGGGACGAGACCATTTTCCACCAGAACTGAGCAAAGTCCTCGCAGGGGCCAGGGTTCCCCCACTTGCGCCTCACTGCCCGGCGGCCCGGGGGACATCTCAGCACAGCCCTTGTAGGTAGGACCCGGCCCGCTCGCCTGTGCTGTGTCCCGCTGCGCGACCGCGAAGCCCTCGCCGGCCCGTGCGTGCACCCCGCCGTCCTACACAGCGCGGCCCCACACGTCCAAGGTCAGCGGGAGGGCGCCCCATTTTGTTCGGTCGACGTCCTGCCTCCGCTGACTTGGAGGGCGGCTCCAGAGAACAAACGTCCCATGTCGCTCCAAGGGAGGAGCTTGGGACCCAGACCCTCAGTAGCGCATGGCTGTCACATGTGGGCCGAATGGACCTCACGAGACAAAGAACCACGTAGGGACGATCTTAGCCACTTGCAAGCGGCACAAAATGCAAGAAAGAGCCCAGGAATTCGAGGTCTTGCAGAACTGCAAGATCCCAAACATTTCCAGACCCCAAACAGTGACAGATGGGATTTTTGTTTTCAAGCCCTTGAGTAGAAGACCAGCGGAATGTGGTTGGGAACGGAGCGACTCAGCCTGTGTGTCACGTTCTTTCGGCCCGAGCTCAGGAGCCCTGAGCAGGCCTCCCTGTGATGCAGACGGCAGGAGGGGCCGGGTCCCCGGGCGTCGAACCCTCGCCTGAGGGAGAAACAGGCCTGCTGGTTTACAGCCCTGACGAACGGAGGCTGCTCGGTAAAATCTCTAGTGGGCACTCACCTTCCCAAAGAGGCGGCCTCGGTGAGGACGGGTGTGGAAGGCTGCCTGTGCGCCCTGGTCCCAAAACCCACCCTGGCTGTCATTGTCCGAGTGACTAATCGGCCATATGGGGAGGGGGCGGCCAATTATCTGATTCCCGGAGCCTCACAGAAGGCTGAAAGCCCCTCCCGCCCACCCCGCTCGATGGCAGGAGTCCCAGTCAGGAAGCCGGGAGAGCCACCAGCCATCTGGAAATGTCCATCTGTCCCGAAGCAGCGAAAACGGCCCTCCCAGAGGCCTCCCCCTGCCCCCGCTCCTTCTATGACTACGGAGGGGCGTTCTGCATTTTAACTGTGGTTGAACCGTCAATGGTCAGATCTTGGGACTGGAAACTAAGGCCCGTCCTGGTTCCCGCTTTCACACAGAGCAAGAGTCGGCGGCCCCGCAGCCCCGGACAGAGGCCGCTTGTCTTTCCTTGAAGATCTGCAGGCGTAAGAGGCCGGCTGCCATCTGGGACCGCGTGGCCTGGGGCCGTGGTCCCTGACGTCAGAGCTCTCCTTCCCGTGGTAT